AACTTATTTTTGTGTGCCTATAAATATTGATTAACGCTTGGTTAAATGGAGTTGGCTTACCAGCCATCTCCACTTTGTGTCGTTTCTCTTCTCTCTATTCCATTCATTTTATATACAAAATATGTGTATTCACAAGTCCATTCTCGTTACTCGACTTATTTAATTCCGTCATTGACTAACGCGATTTAAGTCGATGATGATTACATACGAGGATAGGCGATAACAAATGTTCATACGGTCTAATTGGAGAGCCCATCAACAAACATCGTCCGATCTAAATGACAACAAATAAAATGGCCCCACTAAAATATATTCAAATCCAATAAAAAACCATCTGTTGATTAGTGCTTAACTTGAACCGAATTAACTGACAGTTACCTATAACCATTTAATGTCTTAGCAGAGTGCAGACTATATTCAATCACTTGGACAATAAACACAATAGGATTTTGATGTATATAATTTGATCAGTATCAAAGAACTAGACAAACATGACATGGATTATTACCTTAATGGTCAATTAACTAGAAAAAAATCTACATTCCTCATCTTATAATTATACTCAATAGGAGATAAAAAATATTTCTTCATTCATTCATTCATTCATTCAATATTTCAATTATTACTATGCATTCAGAGTAATAAACAAATTCATAAAGAATATAATAAGAAGGAATATTCATTATTATTATTATTATTATTATCATTTATAATGACATTAATTACCTACATGTGTATAGATCGTTGATTTATTTCACTCACTCACTCACTCACTCACTCACTCACTCACTCACTCACTCACTCACTCACTCACTCACTCACTCACTCACTCACTCACTCACTCACTCACTCACTCACTCACTTACTCACTCACTCACTCACTCTCTCTCTCCCTCTTGTTCTCACGAAATCAATTTTTAGTCATTGATTTTAATTTTCATTAAACTAATTAATTAGATAAAATCTTTCATTGAGATAGTAATAACTATGATATTACTATTATGAATAATAATAATAATAATAATAATAATGGTAATAATAATAATAGGAACTAAACAGTTCTAATGATAATAATATTACTACTAATAATAGTAATCATAATGATAATAGGGTAATGGAAAACTCAATTCAAATTAAATTTCCCTTAATAGTTTTTTTTACGTATTACATTTTCCCTCTTTAATTAAAATGAAAAACAATAAACAACTAAATGATTCTTTTATTTATTTATTTATTTATCTCAAAATAAATGGATTCAAACAAAATTCATTGATAAATATCAATAATGAGTTCATCTTTTTTTATTAATTATTTTGGCTTGAGTTATATTATAACAAGTTATATTAACTATATTGTATTAGTATCATTGTAAAAAGTGTATATGTTGTATGCGTGTACGTGTACGTGTACATTTGAAGAATAAGTTTCAAATGAAAGAGAGGAGTTTTGTGGAGATTATAGTAATTTAATTGTTGAATTCATTAGTCAATTGATGCTAGATCATCATAGAAAACTTGAAAGAACTAGACGACTGTTTCGTTCTAGTATGGGACTGTTAAGCAGTGCACATCCCTTTCTGATCATAATCATCATATATTCCCTAGTGACTAGTTTTAAGAGGTATTTCTTTGAGTTCTAGTAGGAAGCAGTGATCAGTGGAGTTCAACCAGGTCTGTTGTGGGATAGTAACTGATTGAAGACAATGGTGGAGGGTGACACAACTTTGTAGATTGATTGAAGTTGGACAATAACACCGTCGGATCCCGGCTGGATTAAAGGTCTGGATGTTAAGACGTCGCACGATACTGATAGGTCTTGTGTTCGAATCTCGCGTAGGGAAGTGGGATCGTGAATGCGTACTGCTGAGAAGTCTAACAATGGTACGAAACGGCCGTCCAGTGCTTCTAGGATTTTCATGGTTGTCTAGCTTCATTTGACTCATGAATTCAACAATTAAATTGAAATAAAAGTTTTTTTTGGGGGGGAGGGAATAATAACTTTAAGTAATCCATGAGCTTGTAAAACTGATGAAGTCAAACAGTATAGTATTACGATAAGAATATGTTTGGATTAAATTCAACTTTTTTATGTCACAATCTGGATTTCATTTACTCCAGTATTAAACTACTGATAATAAGTTGCTGGAAGGAACTTTGAAAGATATTAAACTCAAAATATTGATATAATGTTCAGATGATGGACAATCCAGGAATTTACAATGAAAAAGTTAGTCATTTACTAGTTAAAATGAATTAGTCGACAAATCAGCTTTTTTGTCTCTTTATGGGTGTAATCAACCTGATTTTGTGAATTAACATAATTTTGACTAATGTATTACTTAATTAACATTAAGAGATATAAATCATTCAGGCATAGTTCGTTAAATAATCTGCCTTGTTCGATGGAAAGTCGTGTGAAGTTGAACAAACTTTACACTAGAATTACTCAATTATAGTGAGTTCACTGTATATGAGCTTTTATATAGATTATCGGAATAGCAATAAAACTCCATAACTGATGTATTTCAACTATATCTGGAATGAGAACCTTATCCATAGATGGCCCTGAATGATATTTAAATGTAGATTTTCAGATTTTGAATTAATAGTCTAGGTATATCATTATCACATAGTAATCTTTATACGATGAAGTTTACAGTGAGACATTAATGGTATATTTCAAACAATTACTTTGCAACTGTCCAGTATTTGTTGGTTTCAAGGTATTTCTAAGCTGGTATTCTATACTCAAAGTTATTTCAATGTAGATTTGATGGATAATTTTAATATTCTACGATATATCAGTAGTCATCTGGCTTTTGTAGAATCCTATGATTTATCTATACGATGTCAGTATAATGATTATGTTCATTTGGAAGTTATCTAACATAACATTGAAATGATTCTCATTGTAACCTGATTGCTTAAATATTGAAGAATTATTTGATTAAATTAAAATAAGGTTTATATGGAATGCTAAACTACTGACTATACATAGATGGATTCATATTGATTTTGTTCTGTTGATGTGAACTCTTGTTGATTTCTGTTATGTCTTATGGTCCGTTAAATATCACATAGAGAAATCATCAATCAGAACTCTAACTTATATGACTTTTCCATGTGCTAAATCAATTATGCTTTAGCCAGCACGACCAGTCTAGAGTTAACTCTAGGTCCTTATTGGTCCTGAAATGTGTAATTTCCAGTCTAGCCTAGCCCGTTTAATTCAGAATACAATCTTAACCTTTGCTGTGTGAATTGTATATTTCAGACATACGTGGTTTATGTCTAAGCAAATTTTTGAAATATTTAATATATAATGTGTAGCAGCAGCAGCAAGGGAAAATGGTAGATCCTCAAATACAACGCATATGACACCAATCCAATTACACTAGATCGAGAACCTCTGAAATAGGTTAAAACGTCCATATATTCGGGCAGAATCATAGATGAACAAAAGAGATCTGATGTAGATGATAAGATAAAGATTGTAAAACCAAAGATAGTATTGCTCCATTTGAAGAACATATGGAACTCAAAACAACTCTCAACCAATATCAATGTCAGGATCTTCAATACGAACGTCATCACAGTTCAACTGTATAGAGCTGAAACTTGGAGATTTACCACAACCATCATCAAAAATGGTGTAAGTATTTATAAACAACTGTCTACTGATGGTACTCAATGTTCGTTGATCTGATACCATCAGCAACAGCCTACTGTGGGAGAAAACAAACTAACTCCCAACTAAAGAGAAAATTAGAAAAAGACGCTGTGGGTTGACAGGACAAACACTGTTGAAATCGTCGATCTTCATCACAAAGTAAGTCCTAACTTGGAATCCTAAAGAGGAGAGGAACAGAGGAAGACCAACGAACGCATTATATCGGGAAATAGAAGCAAATATGAAAAGGATGAATAGTAACTGGAAAGAACTGGAAAGGATTGCCCAAGACAGGGTTAGATGGAGAGGGCTGATGGGCGGCCTATGGTCCTTCACGAGGATTAAAAGGCGTAGGTAAGTAAATAAGTACTATTTCTGAGATTTTCGTTAGTTGGAATTATTCGGCACGATACCTTACTTAATCTAAGTAGTAATTTAGTTGTTACCGTTTAGTAAAGTATACCTGAAATTTTAAATTAATACTTCCCGTTTGGTCCGAACTATGCCTAACACAATTTATCATTTTAAAACATAATTATTAAGCTGATTCCATGATTCAACTAATCTACAACAACAACAACTACAGCAAAAACATGAGACAGTTTGTAAAAAATACCACAAATACCTACTTAAGATACTTTCACTTTTGTTTATAGGAACAAAACAATGATTGAATAAAACAGGAAATGATTTGTAGTAAATCTTAGAGAAGAACAAGGTATAAAGGAATTACATTATACTATCTATTTAATAGCATATCTTAGTTTATATAACTAATAAATTACGCCGTATATAATTATAGACATCATATTCTCTCTTTGTATGTTATGTAGGTTGAGTGATGGTGTTTTGTTTTCATCTTCTCTTCATTCTCATCATTTTCTTTTTGCTTACGTTTTTTTTTTAGATTTTCCATTTAAATCTTTCTGTTTTCTATTCTCATTTCACTGATCCAATTTTATTGTTAACTTGTGTAAGCGTATAGACGTTTTAATGTTTTCACTACTCATTATTATCTTGTTTTAAGTAACATGTGTTGTTTCTTCGTCTAGGAGTATATTTATGTATATATATATATACACGCATATATACTTATATATACATTTATATATCAATGAACGTGTGTAAAATTGATATTGTCTATTCTCATGAGAGTCTACTTCAATTTCGCTTGGTTCATTGTTAATCTACATGTTTTCACAATTCTGTTTGGTCGTTCTCTTGTGTTAATTCGCAAATTTGCTTTTTTGTTGTTGTTGTTGTTGGTGATGGTGGTGATATACATATATGTATATTAGTTAATGCATTGATGCATTTACGTACCGTATTCTTCATGTTAAATTTATTTCAATCACATCATTATCATCATCATCGTCATCATCATCATCATCATCATCATCATCATCATCATCATCATCATCATCATCATCATCATCATCATCATCATCATCATCATCATCATCATCATCATCATCATCATCATCATCATCATCATCATCATCATCATCATCATCATCATCATCATCATCATCATCATCATCATCATCATCATCATCATCATCATCATCATCATCATCATCATCATCATCATCATCATCATCATCATCATCATCATCATCATCATCATCATCATCATCATCATCATCATCATCATCATCATCATCATCATCATCATCATCATCATCATCATCATCATCATCATCATCATCATCATCATCATCATCATCATCATCATCATCATCATCATCATCTTTCTTTGTGATGATCATATCACAACACAGAAAATTTAGTTGAACATAATTTCAAAGGAAAGTGAGACTTAAAAAAAAAAAAAGAAGTTGGCAAAATTTGTTTTAGACAGTCGTGTTTCGTGTTTTCTTGTTCTTTTTTATTGTTCTTGTTGTTGATGTTGTATTCACTCTTCTATAAATGAATCTTTTATCTACTTTTATGATGCATAGTTTTTTATTTATTATTATCTTATCATGGTTTTTCAACTTGAGTAGGCAATTATTCGCTATAATGGATATAGAATCTTAAATGAGACTTAACACTAGCTAGTTAATTTTGATGCATCAATAATTAAATTATAACTGTCAGTGTTAAGTCGTATTCATGAGGATTTTTCATTGTTCCTCTTTTTCTCTTTTTCTTTTTTCTTTATTTATGAAGTCGACATTCATAAAGATCGATTCTTTTTTGTTAAGTTTAACTATATCATATTTGTTATCTTCAGCTATTCTATTTGGTTATCAATGTGTTTTTTGTAATTGGGATTAGTTGTGCCTTGGACAATTGTCAAGTACAATGAAGTGAATATCCAAAATGGCAAATAAAGATTTAAAGAAGATGAGAGAAAAAAACACTTTTTTTGATGATAGAATAGATGAGTTCAGAGGTTTCAAATATCCAAAACATGGTTGCATAGCCATTTGGAGGTTAGTGAAGAATTTGAAGATGAAAATCATTTACAAGAAAAAAGTGATTAAGTCGCTCGTTGTCTTCGAACACATTGTTCAGATTGAAATTGATGAAAGCTTCAACGATGTACACGTTGTTGATTTCATCACCTTTTTTTATCCTACTCCTTCAGCCGTGTATAGGATGTTGATGGAATAACTTGATTGGAGTTTACAAGTGTTATATCGCGATAAGAATAATGAATGATAACTGTCGGAATCTATTTCTGGACTAATATTATATTCATATTTTTTATCATATAATTGTTAAGTAATTCAACTACTCATATTTGTGTCTCTCTTTTTATGAGCTTTATTGTGACCTGTGAACTATTATTATGCGGTTTACCATTCTTGAGTTATACCCATAATCACAGCCACGTTTGGCTAAATCTTATACAAATGTTATTTTCTATTTTATGATACAATGTAGTCTATTTGGTTTGTATATAAACCCAATATGTTTGAAATACACGATTCATATTGTAAAGGCTGAGATTGGTGTTCTGAACTTAACAGGCAGAGCTAAACAGCAATCAAGACCGATAAGGACTCTAAACTGCTCATACGGGTTTTATACATCATTGGTCCGATCGATAACTCACTATTCACTAATATAACACAGGGAACAAATTACAACAACAAGCTAGTGATCATTTTGTATTTGTTGTGCCGGAAAAAAAGATCACTTATACTCGGAACGAGGGACCACGGCAATTCCCGCGATGCGAAAGTAAGAACACAAAGACTGGTATAAGTGAAGATTTATTAGCCCCAAACACTATAACAACGACGAATCGAATATAGTCTAAAATACACTCATTTATATATTGATTGTACACCCATTTTGATTAATAATTAGGATTAGATCACATACTCAGTTATAACAAATCACTTACTGAGCATAGTTCATGTCAAATGAATACAAGAATATCATATAGTCACAATTGATTGATCACTGGGTGGTGATCAATGTCATGCTTGTCTAGTCCTTATTAGTGCAGATCGAATGCTATCGATCATGTTGCAATGTGGCCACCAGTCTAGGTGACTCGACACTGCGGGCACTATGTATTGAGATTAGATGGTGGTTGGAGGTAGTCAACAGGAATCCCTTGACCCGGGTTTCGTGCTACTTGGCTCATTGATCACCACCCAGTGATCAATCAATTGTGATTACATCTCGGTCCTACAGGAGGTCAGTCGCGGCTCGGATAGCTCAGTGTTAACGTCTCTGACTGTGGAGCTGGGTGACACGAGGTCGAATCCGCCAGGGAGCACCAGTTCCCTCAAGATTACAGGTACACCTTGCTGACGAGTGCCAAGTAGCACGAAACCCGGGTCCAGGGTTTCCTGTTGACTACCTCCAACCACCATCTAATCTCAATACATAGTGCCCGCAGTGTCGAGTCACCTAGACTGGTGGCCACATTGCAACATGATCGATAGCATTCGATCTGCACTAATAAGGACTAGACAAGCATGAGATTGATCACCACCCAGTGATCAATCAATTGTGATTACATCTCAGTCCTACAGGAGGTTAGTCACGGCTCGGATAGCTCAGTGGTAACGTCTCTGACTGTGAAGCTGGGTGACACGAGATCGAATCCGCCAGGGAGCACCAGTTCCCTCAAGATTACAGGTACACCTTGCTGATGAGTGCCAAGTAGCACGAAACCCGGATCCAGGGTTTCCTGTTGACTACCTCCAAACACCATCTAGTCTAAATATCGTATAGTACACAGGAGAAAGTATCATCAAACAATCAAATAATCCACTGAATGACCATCACATTGAATAAAAACGGATGTATTATTGAATAAAACTCATAATGAATAATTCAATAGAAAATTGACTTTTCTTTGCATCATATCAAGCAATTATTAATCTACTGGGTATAACTCGGGTCCTAACAGTATTCTCCTCTTAACAATTGTATAATATTATAATGTTTTTCTCTTCAAAAATGAGTTTAGCTTCTATTCAACAGGAATTCGTATACATTTTGGAGAATGAACTAAACGAAAGAAAATTATTTCTTCAATTCAATATTACTTTAGATGACAAATAAAATAAAAACTGACATTCAACAACAAGAACATCTTACTAGATGAATACAATCAAAAAGAGGAAAAAAGAAGAATTTTGAAAATCAACTAATGAAATAGAATAGAAAAACAACATTGAGTAGGACTCTTAACATCCTTTGGAAATTAGGGAAAGTAATAATAATAATAATAATGATAATAATGACAAACGGAAATTGTTCCTAATTGAAAACCGGTGAATAAATAAAAAAGTTGTGTTCTCGCGTGGTATTTTTTTTTATTTTTAAAAATTTTTTTGGTTTTCAATTTTTTATTTTCATTTTCGAAAAATGGAGGAGGTTGTCTTTAGTTTAAATTTTTTTTTCAGCACTTGTGGTTAATCGTCTATTTATTTATTTATTTGATTGTTCTTTTCTCTTTTTTTTCTTTTTTTTGCTGAAAAATTCCGCTTGTTCATTTTTTGAAATCACAACAATAAAACGATCTTAAATGAACATTGAATAGTGTGTTTGTTTGCTTGTTTGTTTGTTTATGTGTGTGTGTGGGGGGGGTAGCAACAGGGTGAACAAAAGAACAAACACAAAATACAATTTATTAAAAGAAAAAAAATAAAAAATAATAAAAATAAAAAAATAAACGTTTTTTTTCTAACTTTCTTTTCTGTTCAAAAATGATTAAAACTAAATTTTTTTTCGAATACATAATGGTTAAGAAGGTTCTTACAATAATGATGAATAAAATTGAGTAGATAATAGTGATAATACAAATTGGTGGAATACTCATCAATTCATAATGTGTATTTAGCAAAAAGAAATAATTGCTTAGTAATAGATAAATGGTAATAGTAATGAAAAGAGATTTCAAATTAGTTAGTTGTATTACTGTTCTTTTTTTTTCTTTTTGTTGTTGTTGTTGTTAAAGAAATCAACTATTGAACTACTTAATAGTCAAAAAGAAATTACTATTCAACTTCAAGCAACTGGGTTGTTTTTTTCAATATAAAGTTTTATTTCAATGATCGAGATCATGAGTCAATACAAGCTAGACCAACATGGAAAACATGGAAGTACTGGACGACCGTTTCGTCCTATTGTAGAACTTCTTAGTAGTGTGCATCCACAATTCCGTCTCGCGGGATTCGAACAAAGGAGCTATTAGTCTTGCGCGCGAACGCTTAACCACAAGAAGAAGAAAAGGCTAACCAGTGCTAGTCGTAGAATACGCTATATCAAACGAGATTCTACTGAAGCTTTACAACAAAAATTAACTTTATTTAAGAACTTATTATGAAAATAGAATACACTAACTTAAGGAAATAATATCGAAGAGAGTAATCAAAATTGCAGACGAGAATTCATTTTAATTTTAATTACTCCAGTAAGTTTATATAACTAGTTCGTTGGTTGATGGTAGTCTACAGAAATCTCTGTTCGACGTAGATTCCACTTTAGTTAAAACTCATCAATAAAGAATATTACGATCATGAGGATACATTTTATTCCTTGTAGGATTGAAACTTATGTTACCAAGCATTATATTTTAAATGTTCTATTAAGCGAAATAGATACAAAAGCACTTTTATACAATTCTATGTAGATTTACTGAATATAAAAGAACACTGATTTTCTAAGAAATTCCACTGTAGTGGACGTGAACATCAAGTGGGAACAACCAAATGTCTTTGAATACAAATCATACTAAAATCAGAGAACCGTACATTAAGTACTTAGTTTGCAAAATATCCCTCAACTGTCTCAGACTTCACTGTTCCTTTTGCGAAATGTCAATCAATCGTCTCGGACAACACTGTTCTTTCATTTCCACACCAATTATCCCTTGTTCTCGTTCTCTTTTTTTCGATCTTCTTAACCTTTATGCTGACAGACATTTCACTTTTGATTGATGATACATACTACTTATATCTGTTCATATCCGTAGCACCCACCACACTATCATGTTCATCATAAGTGTTTCCTATGTTTGTTTATTTTTTAACGGTTACATTAGAAAGGTCTAACAATTTAAACTAATTATTGAAATAGTCATAATAATAAGGCAAAACTAAAAAAAGAAAACAAATTTCGAAGCTATGTGATAGAGAAATCACTTAATTATGTGATATAATCTTATCGATAATAATAGGTTGAATAGAAAATTGATCATTTCCCCCCTAGTTTCATCCACGTTTAACAAGCATAATAATAAGTTACTGATTTTTTTTTGATTTCACAATCGAGTTTTTCGTTTTTTTATATGTAT